TACTACTACTACTACTACTACTACTACTACTACTATACTACTACTATACTACTACAATAATACTACTACAATAATACTACTAATATACTACTACTACTATGCTATATACTATATACTATTACTAATACTACTATACTATTCTATATTATATTATACTATACTATTACTATATTACTATTCTACATACAATACAACTAGTATACTATACTACTACTACTACTACTACTACTACTACTACTACTACTATACTACTACTATACTATACTATACTACAACTACTATACTATACTATATACTACTATACTACCACTATTACTACTACTATACTACTAATATACTACTAAACTACTATACTACTATAATACTACTACTACTACTACTATACTACTATACTACTATACTACTATCCTACCATACTAATACTACTACTACTACTATACTACAACTGCTACTATAATACTATATACTACTATATTAATATACTACTACTTCTACTACTACTATACTACTATACTACTACTATTATACTACTACTATATACTATATTACTACTACTATACTATACTACTATTATATACTACTACTATACTACTATATACTACTATATACCACTATACTACTATATTACTACTATATTACTACTATACTACTACTATACTATATATTATACTACTATACTACTACTATACTATATACTATACTATATATTATACTATATACTTTATACTATACTACTATACTACTATATACTATAGTACTACTACTATACTATTATACAACGATATACTATACTACTACTACTATACTATACTACTACTACTACTACTATACTATATTACTATTACTATATACTATACTACTACTACTACTATACTATACTACTATACTATTCTATACTATACTACTATTATACTACTATACTATACTATACTACTATACTATACTACTATAATACTATACTACTACTATACTATACAACTACTATATACCATACTACTAAATATTATATACCATACTATATACTACTATATTATACTACTATACTACTATATATTACCACTACTACTATTATATTATACTACTATACTATATTATACTATATACTATACTACTACTATTATACTACTACTATACTACTATACTATATATACTACTGCACTATACTACTGCTACTACTATATACTACTATACTACTACTACTACTAAAAGTACTATACTACTAAACTTGACTTCTACAACTACTACTACTATTATACTACTACTATACTATACTACTACTATAAACTATAAACTATAAACTACTACTATACTATACTACTACTATACTACTATACTACTACTACTATTACTACTATATATTATACTATTATACTACTACTACTATATTACTACTATTATATACTATACTACTACTACTAAACTACTATAATATACTACTACTATACTGCTACTACTAATATACTACTACTACTATACTACTACTACTATACACTATACTACTATAAAGTACTATACTATATACTACTACTATACTACAACTACTACACTACTACTATATACTATACTACTATACTATTATACAACTATACTATGTTATATACTACTATACTACTACTACTATAATATACTATACTACTACTATACTATATACTACTATACTATACTATACTATACTATATTATACTATATTATACTATACTATACTATATACTACTATATTATACTATATTATAGAGTTTATTCACGAGCTCTGAATAGAACATGAATCGAGCTTTTATCGAGCTTAATGTCGAGCTTGTTCACGAGCTTCAAGTGATGTTATTCGTGAACATAAATGAACCGAACACATTAGTGTTCAAGCTTATTTATTTAGGAATCGAATATTTAAAATGTTGTTCAAATTTATTTGTTTAGTTAGTTAAACGACCACAAATAAGCTTTAATCGAACCGAGCAACCAGTAGCTCCTCAAAGGTTTGGTTCTCTTGCAGCCCCACACTGGCAAATTATTGGGTCAGGTGACCGAACACAGAGATAGGTCCGGATATTAATAAAATATTATTTTAAAAATAACGCAAGTAAAGCGCTGGTAAAGCGCAACTAAAGCGCAAGTCAAAAAGTGCAACTAAAGCGCAGGTAAAGCGCAACTAAAGCGCAAGTCAAAAAGCACAACTAAAGCGCAAGGTGACGCGACAAATTTTTATTGGATGTCCGAACTTACCTTTTTCCTCCGGTCACCTGACCCAATAATTTGCCCCTACACTTAGTCTGAAATGGAGGATCTAAGGGGTATTTGGCTGCGAGCAGAAATCTTATGAACGATTACTGTCGGAGGCGTGCGAATCGTGGTTCTGCCAGCCCAGGCAACGGGTCTGCGCGGCCTCGGCGACGGCCGGCGGATTTCAGGCGACATCTTTTGTGCTCATAGCATTACAGCAAGCGGATTTCAGGCCACGTCTGAGCGACGCAGCCGTTGGCAAGTGACTGATGGCAACAAAGCCCCACCGCCTTCACCAAAGTATTAAATCCCTTCCACCTCTCCAAAAAACCTAATATGCTTCTGTTATGCCAACTACTCTTCTTTATTCTATACTCGCAGTGGCGTCAGTATTGAGCTCTGCTAAGAAGCCACGGATGATGAGCACGAACTCTAGCATGAAGGAGGAATTCGCAAAGCATGCTGATTACCTCAATCAACTCGTATGTTCCTATTCATGTCATTTATTCCTGCAATATCTATGTCCTCTTACTATTGGGCTTTGTTGTTAACATTTTTTTCCTCCATCTAATAGCATGTACATTTGCTTTGCAATTGGTATTTAATGGATGTTCTATCGACTTTTTTTCATCTTCGTTTTCTTAAGCTAGAAGAAGGTTCCGCATTTGATTCTATTAATTATAAAGAAGTGTCAAAATTCCAAAAAATCTGCATGATTCCGTTGAATTATAGGTAGCTGATGCAAGAAGTAAAAAAAAAAAACGATCAAATGTTTTATGTGCGGATGAAACGAGTCACGTTGAGAAATACATAGGGCCAAGTGAAGAAGTTTCATTCCTCTGCTTTGAACTCCTCTTCCTGATTATCTTAGTAATCTGTATGTAAATTAATAAGTAGAATAGTCATAGAAGAAAACATAGACAAAGAGTAATTGTAATGGTATTCATTGTTTCTATGAAGCAACTATTAGCTTTACTATTTGTTCTAGTGTATATATAGATGAAAGGTTGGTTCAGCTTTACACGTGTATGATTAGGATGTAGCAGGGTTCTTATGATTTAATGGTTGTAAGTTGTCGTTAGAGATAGTTGTTGCTCTTCTTTGATAATATAAGTGGCTATCGTTGTTTCTCCCCTTCATGCTGATGGTGGAGGCTGAACCATCAGTTTGTGTCGTATAGCGAAATTGCTGGATGGATAGCAGTTTGGTAAGTATGTCATCGATTTGGTTTGTGGCGCTGATTGCAGCTATACAAATTTCTTTGGATTGTCTGTGATATTGGATGAAAGTGATGATTGACCTCGATGTGTTTTGTTTTGGCATGAAATATGGGGTTGTTGATGAGGGAGATGGTCGAGGTACTGTCACAGTGAATGCCCATCGGTTGAGATAGTGTAATGTGGAAGTCTTGAAGTAGACGATGAAACCAAAGGAGGTCAACGGTGGCTGTGACGAGAGCACAATATTCCATTTTATGGATAATCGAGTAATCGTGTGTTATTTTTTGACACTCTAGAAATGATGGTGTTGCCTTGAAACGTGCAGTAATCAGATGTGGAGAGATAGGTGGTGGGGTCGTCGGTCCAGTCAGCATCAAAGAAGGAAGAAAGGATGTGAGGTCATTTGGTTATGGGTACATCGAAGCGAATAGTTCCTTTGATGTATCTAAGAATCCTTTTAAGTAGATGGGCATGCTGAGAAAGAGGATTGTGCATATGCTGACGGAGTTGGTTGACTGTGAAGGAGATGTTGAGATGACTGAGAGTTAGGTATTGGAGCGAGCTTGTGGTTTAATGATAGATTGTAGGATCAAAGAGGGGATCAATTGGGGGTGATATGGGTTGTCTGGTAAAATTTGGATTGGACAGTGATTTACAGTTTTAAGGCCTGCTTGGTGGACTGTGGAGAACACATAGTTTGATTGGGAAAGAAACTAGGAATTTTGTAGAGGAGAAATCGTAACACCAAGGAAGTTATTTGCTGTCCCATGTGTTTCATGGCAAATAGATTGCTGAGGTCGATAGTTAGTTGGGATATGGCCTTGGGATTATTTCCTGTGAGTAGAATGTCATCAACATAGATGAGAAGATAGAGTTGTACCCGAGAAGAGAGGGATCTGCTTTGCTATGTTTGAAGTCGGGTGAAAGTAGGAGGCTTGAGAAAGTTGTGAACCATTGGCATGTAGCTTGCTAGAGTCCGTGCAAGGCTTTGTGAAGAAGGCATACATGATTGGGATATAGTGTCTTCAACGCCATGTGGTTGCATCATATGACTCTTTTCATGGAGGTTGCCATGTAGAAAGGTGTTCGCAACATCTAGTTGGTGAATTTGCTCGTTGTGATTTTAGGCTATAGTTAGGAGCACACGAATGGATGACATTTTTATAATCGGGCTGAAAGTTTCATTGTAGTCTAAGCCATATTCCTATTTGTGGCCTTGAGCTACTAGTCTAGCTTTGTAACAAGCAATGGATCCATTAGAGTGGTGTTTGGTTCTGTAAGTCCAACAACAGCTGAGAATAGATGCGTGGGTGGAGGAGGGACAAGTGTCCATGTGCCTTGATGTTGAAGGGCAAGGAATTCTGCTGCCATGGGTTGTCTCCAGTGCTGATGTTTGTTTGCTTTTGAGAAGCTGGTTGGATTGACATGTGTAGAGGGGGATGTTAGGTTGATGTGGTTAAGTAGTTTGAAGATAGTTTTTGGTTTTATGGATCTAGCTAGCATTGGGTGGGATGGTTGAATATGGGCAGTTGTGTTTGGCAGTGGAGATGGGGAGGAGCAGCTAGTGGAGTTATTTGATGGGGGTTGTATATTAGAGGAGGGGAGAGGAATGGGAGTATTGTGTATGTTTATTTGTGGAGTTAGATGGATGTGGTTGAGTGGAGATAGGAGTGAGTAGGAAGGGATTGGTAGGAGGTGAAGATATAGGGGTTGTTGGTATCTGGTTTTTGAATGGAAATGTGGACTCATCAAAGATGACGTGTTGAAAAATGTAGATGCGACATGTAGTTGAGTTGAAACATTTGTGACTTTTATAAGAGTTCGAGTAACCAATAAAGACACATGACGTGGAGCGAGGAGCAAGTTTGTGTCTCATGTGAGGTGGAAACCATGGGAAGCATGCACAACCAAATGTGCGAAGATGTTTGCATTGTGGTTTTTGTTTTTGTAGAAGGTGGAAGGGTGATTTGTTTTCTGTTTTAGGAGATGGGAGGCAGTTGAAGAGGTAGGCGCCAGTCAGAAGGGTATTAAGCCATAGAGGATATGGGAGGTGGGTTGCATGTAAGTGTTGAAAAATGTAGATATGACGCCGAAGTTGAGCCTTTAATTGTATTAACTTCAGGATAATTTCATTCCAATTGGTAGTTGTATGGCTACATAGGATTACTTCTTGTTTATGTTTGGTGTAGCCTATTATATTGTCACTATTGTCTATAAATAGGTAGACATTGATTGTGTTAGGGGAGATTTAGAAGATGAATAATATTTGAGTACTTTTACTCTTTTTGGTTTTCTGTATCCTGAAGGATTTCAGGTGGTGATCCCTCTCCCAAGGAGTTCTTGGTCACGGTCACTGGATCGTCGACGTGGATTCGTCGAGGCCCATTTGGTCCGGTGTCATTTGGTATCAGAGCCGGCAAGTTGCTGGCGTTCTTGTCCGTCGCCGTGTCGCCTCCGCCGCCGGCATCATTTGGCGGCGACCCGTCTTCGGTGGCGAATCAGCTTTGCAAGCAGCCTCCAAGGATCGGCCTCGTTTGCATTCTTGGGTATGTTATGCTTGCTGTCTCCAAACAACTCACAATCTATCCCTCTCCTGTTCCAAGCAGCAATCCCCACTCGCACTCAGAAGTCCAGTGCTTCCAATCCCTGCCGTCTCTTGCAGGCACTTTATTTATCCTTCCAAAAGTCAAGAAGGATGGTCCAGTAGCCAAGAAGGGGCTGTCTTCTTCCAGCGGACTTCAATACAATAACTCAAGAACCACAAAACTTCAACCAGCTGCTGCGGTTCATCCTCCACAACCATTTGCATACACGCGAATGCTGTTTACAAGAAGCAGAACATCAGTCGCCTATCTTGTTCTTGTCTATAGCAGGCGTTCTTGGTTTTTTCCAAAATATTGAGAGGAGAGGATGGAATGGAGATGTACGGGGATCCGGGATTCTGTCAACTTCACAACTGAAATTTCTTCTTGATCTTTTAATTTGTTTCAGTGTACCAACAAAAGGTCTTGTACCGTTCCAATTCATTCCTCACATCATAGGGTGATGTTCAGCACCTATTTTTGCATTTCCGGCAACAATAGGAAGATTTCAAGCAAGTTTTGCGTCAAAAGATGTCACCTCGCCGGAATTATCAGCAACCACTACAAGAAGAAGAAATCGAAGATCTTCTACAAGAAATTGTCCGACTCAAATTATGATTATCAAGGATTGAATGAAGAAAGGACTTGAGCCCTCATGCCCGGAACTTTATTGTTCGACCACAGGGCAAGTCTGCTCCCATGGTGGCTTATAGATCCTCCATTCAGGCTGAATTCCCAAGAAAATGATGATAGAGAGGATATCTTGGACGATCAGAGTCCTTCCTATGAAGACATTTTTGAAGGGTCACCCCGCAAGTCTTCCTCATCCTTGAGCGAATCCATCTTCGATGGGTTTGAAGATTCGTTGCCGAAATTGTCGTCTTTTCTTCTCTACGATGAGCCAGTGTATGACGTGTATGGCGACGACGAGGGCATTTCAGATGATCAAATCTCTTCCAGCCCAATCTCGATCGAGATCAGCTTCGAAGAATTTGAAGATCCGTTGTCGAACTCGTCGTCTTCGCCTATTTTTTATGAACCCATGTATGACATGTATGATGATGACGACATGTTCTTGGGAGTTCTTGATGATGATAAGCCTTTGTATGATGATGATAAGAGCGAGCCGGATGTCCAACATGAACTATTCACTCCTAGTGTTCACAATACGGCAACAAACTTGATCGTCATCACTGACAAAAAAATTGCAAGTCAAGATCTCTCAAATGGGTTGGATATTGAAGCTCCTATCTACTTATCTAGGAAGTTGAAAGAAATACAAATGATTCCCACTAATCTCACAATCACAAATGATCCATCTACGTGGGCTAAGCTTGATTTGTCGAAGATTGATAGACAAATTGACATCGGGTTGATCTATCCAGACTGGTTTAGCCAACCAAACCCACCACCTTATGGTGGCCAACCGGACATCTTCCTATGAGCCCGAAGTTCCTCCTACCCCGGTAGTATGACGCCGGAGCTGAGTCGTTAATTGTATTAACTTCAGGATAGTTTAATTCCAGTTGGTAGTTGTATGGCTACATAGAATTACTTCTTGTTTATGTTTGGTGTAGCCTATTATATTGTCACTATTGTCTATAAATAGGTAGACATTGATTGTATTATGGGAGATTTAGAAGATGAATAATATTTGAGTAGTTTTACTCTTTTTGGGTT